ACCCCGGACAACCTCATTTGCTCTTTGTGTATCTCCTGGGATTTTAGTTGGGCCAATTTGTTTTGACTTTCTATTAATGAAGATTCTCTCTGATTTGAAGGAAGCTATAGGACACTGAATCCTATTGGTGCCTGCAATTTAGTATTGCAGAGTTTCACAATTTAGGATCTAGATAGCATAGTGTCTAAGGCACTTGACTCCTAACCAAAAGGCTGGCGGTTCAAACCCACCAGCCACTCCTCAGAAGGAAAGTTGGGCAATCTACTTCCGTAGTGATACAGCCTCAGAAACCCAAGGAGGGATTGCTATGAGTCGGGTCTGACTCAACAGCATATAACAACGAGTTTCACAATTTAGTATTGCAAAGCCATCATAATTCACAGTATTGCTAACTTGGTAATTCACTTCATTAATGGCACTGCCTGAATAAAATATGCATCAAATTAGAAATAAACAAATCCTTGAAAAATACAATACTACATTCAGAAAGCACAGAAGGTGCAGTATGTAGGCAGAATGAGAGGGGGAGGAAGGAAGAGAAATCATATCAGGATTAAGAGGGATTTGTGAGCCCATATGCACTCTGTATGCAGTGTTTTTGGAGAGCATTTCTGAGAAAGAATTATAAATCTGTCTTATTTATAGCTTTATGTTGATTCCTCCCTTCCTCTTACCTCCCACATCTAATTTATTGTCAAGTCCTGTCAATCTTGCCTCCTGATTGTATCTTGTATGACTGCTTCTCTTCATCACGAGTGACACAAGTGGGGCATGGTCTTCCCATGCACACCTGTATCCAGATCTTCTCTTTTTCTGGACACACTCAGGAGGATTGCTCTTTTCTGCTTCCCACTTTGCAGTCAGGTGGGACATATGACTAGTTTTAGCCAATGCATCATAAGTAGCACAACACATATCACTTCCAAGCTAAAGCATTCAGATGCAGAGGGAGACCTTCTAGCATTATCTTCTCCCATGGCAATTGTGGAAGCAGGTATTGGGATGAAGGTGTCACAAGACTGAGGCAGTCTGGGTCCCTAAACTGCATAGAACACAGCTGCCCTAGAAAGTTACCCAGACACACAGTGGGCTTTTCACAGGCAAGAAACAAACCTTAGTTGTATAGAGCAACTGCGATTTTGGTGGTGTTTTTTTTTTTTTAACCATATCATAGCCTTGTCCATCCTGACAAGTAAGACAAGTTGCTATCATCTCCCTTCTGGAATCTTGCTGAAACCTTCCTTTCCTACTTCCACTGATAGCAGTGTCAGATTCTTCAGAGAAACATAACCAATAGTGCGCGCACACACACAAAGAGATTTATTTAAAGGAGTTGGCTCATGCCGTTGTGGGGGCTGGCAAGTCTGTAATCTGTAGGAAAGGCAGCAGGCTGGAAACTCAGGCAAAGGTTGATGTTGCAGTCTTACGTTTGAAATATATAGCCCAGGCTGGCAAACTTGAAACTCAGGCAGAATTTTATGCTGCAGACTTGAGGCAGAATTTCTGCTTCTGTAGGAAACCTCAGTTTTTGCTTTTAACCAGGGCTTTAAACCGGTTCATTGCAGGTCTACCCTTTGCTGAGAATTTGCATTTCCACCCAGATATCCTGAATCAAAATCTATGTTTTAACAAGATCCCCAGGGGATTTTTATGTATAGTCACATTGCTATATAAAACTAACCACTATATCCCACCTGCTATAATGTCTCTGCAAAACAGTCATAATGAACTTTAAAAAACATAAATCTAGTCACATCAATCTCCTGTCCAAAACCTTCCATATCCTCTCCACCCTTGTTATTACAGTAGAATCTAAACTCTTTAACTAGGGTTACTAGGGCTGCATGCTCTGGTCCCTGCTTGGGAGTGGTAAACTCTCAATACTTTTTAGCACCTTAGCCTCAGCCCCACTGACCTTCTTTCAGTTCCTCCAACATTCTAGATGGCTTCCTAGTCTGAGACCTCTACACACACTGTCTGCTCTGCCTAGAATCCCTGACCCTCCCCACCTTCCTAAAGTTCACCTAACTAACTGGTATCATTCTTAGCATCTCCACTTAAATGACAGTCCGCCATAGGCCTTCTCTGACCTTCAGTATAGATAGGTCTCCCTGTTGTATTTTCTCATTGTACACCCACTGCTTGTTCTTAATAATGCCTGATCACTGGACATAATTATATACTGCCATCTCCTATACATCCTGTGCCTGGCTACCTCCTATATGAAGTTATTGATAAATACCTTCAGGATGATTAAATAAATGTGTTTAACACACTGTACATTGTCTTCATTTCCTGTAACAGCCCCATAAGTGGGGGCCTTTAAAAAACAGAAATGTCTTTTCTCAGAGTTCTAAAAGCAAAAAGTCTAAATCAGGGTCTGGCCATGTAGATTCCTTTCTTGCTAATAACCCCAGGCCTTCCTTGTTTCCATGGCTTATAAAACAATCGTCAAGTGGCATCTATCTTTCCCTTGTGTATGTGTGTCTCTGTATCTAATACATTCTTTTTATAACTCAGAAGTGACTAGATTTAGAACCCACCCTACTAGGATACGATCTAATTTACATAACAAAGAAAAACCCATTTCCAAACAGTATTACACACACAGGTATAGGGGTTAGGATTCCAACACATATTTTGGAGGGACACAATTTAATTCATAACATGCAGATATACACAAAGTCAGAGTTGTGTGTTTAATTTTTAAAGTGTAAGGGAAAAGATGTTGGTATTTTTTGAACACTAACTGTAGAAGCATGATGCCAAGTACTATGTATCATTTCGTAACATCACACTAGCAAACCAAAACCAAACCAAACACACTGCCATCAAGTCAGATCCGACTCATAGCAACCCCTCCTTGGGTTTCCTAGGTGGTATCTCTACGGAAGTAGATTGCCCAACCTTCCTTCCGAGGAGTGGCTGGTAGGTTTGAACTGCTAGCCTTCTGCTTAGCAGTCGAATGCCTTAGGCACTGAGGTCAATCCTGTTATCCTTGCTTTAGCGATAAGAATTGATGCATGGGGTAGTTAAATAACATGCTTATGTCCACGAGGCTCATTAGGCAGCCCAATTCCATAACCCATGTTTTTAACCATGCTTTTTGATTTCCAACTCCAATTTTGCAAGTTCATTAGAAAAATAGTAACAGACCATTATATCACAGCTATTCAAATCAAAGGCAAGATTTGCCTTGTGCTGTTTATGGAGAAATGCTCCATCCACATCTGCATGTTCCCTACCAGAAATAACATCTTTTAAAAATAAAGGCTAAGCCCATAAGTGGTACAAACAGTTAACTTGCTTGACTGCTAATTGAAAGGCTAGAGGTTTGTGTCTACCCAGAGGCACTTTGGAAGAAAGGCCTGGTGATCTACTTCTGATAAATCAGCCATTGAAAACCCTATGGAGCACAGGTCTACTGTGACACACAGGGTGGCCATGAGACAGAGTCAACTAACGGCAACTGGTTTCAATTATATGCACGATGATGAAGATTGTTTAAATAGCTTGTTCTTTATAAATGCTGTTGTTAGGTGTCATTGAGTCAATTTCAACTCATAGCAACCCTAGTTGTTATAGAGTAGAACTGCCACATAGGGTTTTCTAGGCTGTAATCTTTTTATTTTTTTTTTCTTTTTAATTTTTATTGTGATTTGGCTGAAAGTTTACAGAGCACATTCATTTCCCATCCAGCAGATCATACACATTTTGTCTCATGACATTGACTGCAATTTCCCACGATGTAAGAGTTCTCTTCCCACTTCCTCCCCATCGTTACCTCTTCCCTGTGTCCTTTCTCCCATGCATTCCTGCCCCTCTGAACTGTCTCCCTGTGGATACACTCCCCTTCTAGTCTCCCATGATTGATCATCCAAGCATTGTATCTACCTGATGTAAATGTTTAGCCCACATGCCTATCTTTTATTTGGCTGGAAGCCAAGGGAGTTCAATTCCAGATCTGAAGTGCAGCTAGGGGCCATAGTCTCAGGGGTTTCACCAGGCTCTATCAGATCAGCAATTCTGGTCCTTTTTTTTTTTAATTTGAGTTTTGTTCCACATCATTCTCTCCAGGTCTCCTACATAGATCCCCCTTCCCTTCAAGTAGTTGACAGTGCTAGCTGAGTATTATCTAGTTCTTCTGGTCTCATGGCCGTATAGCCTGAGGATCGCATGGTGTATCAGTCCCTTCTTGGACTAATTGTTTCCATGTGTCTTTGCTTTTCTTCATTCTTCTTTGCTCCGGATGAGGAGAGACCCATTGTGGCATCTAGATGGCTGCTTGCAAGCTTTTAAGATCCCAGTCACTACTCACAAAACTAGGATGTGGGAAATGTTTTTATATAGTATATTATGCCAATTGAGTTTGATGTTCCCTGGGACCATGGTCCCAAGCCAACGTGTCCAATCACTTGCTCCCTCCTGGTAGCTGGCTGTGACCAAGAAGTCACCACAACATTGTCTCTTGTCAGCTGTACTATATACCTAGACATTCTTATGGAACATACAGATATGCTTGTAGAACATCAGTTGCCAGTCCTATACATGGTCATGGACACACTCTCCCCTGCCTAGATGTACCTGATCATTCTAGGCTGTAATCTTTATGGGAGTAAATCACTAGGTCTTTTTCTCACAGAGCCACTAGGCAGGTTCAAACCGCCATCTTATTTGGTAGCAGCCAAGTACTTAACTTTTGTGACACCAGAGCTCCTTTCCTTGTAAATACTAACCTCAAACTATGAAAACCTGAAAATATAAAGTCTTGGATGCAGATTTCTTTTCTGTTTGACTCTATAATACATTTTTTTTTTTTTTTTAATTTAAACCATCAGGGGTGAAAATATCAATTTCCTTTGCCATGGAGAAATCCAATAATGGAATGAAAATCAGATTTCATTTGGACACCCTTTATCAATTAAATCTTATTTTTGTTAACATTATTTTATAAGCTCTCATATTAAATCAATCTTTTTTTATCTCTTTCATGAAACAAGCACATATCTGAATGAGCAGTCACTCCAATTGACAGAAAAATGTAAAAATCTGCAAGCTGATGTTAAATCTTTATCTAAGAAAATGAAAAGGTAAGTTCTACTATTCACATTTAATTTAAAAAATAACTGTTTTGTATTCAAAATGTTGCACAGCATCTTTGGAATCATTTGGAAAATAAGACGGTATTCACTCACATGCTTAATGGTGGATTTCTGAGAAGTTTATGTGGGTGAGGAGGAGGCTGAACAGTGCCTAGGGTCAGATCCTGGTGGAGACTCAGCTTATTTGTCCCTGGACCCATAGTCATCAAAAGTTTTATTGGCTAAACTTTTATGGGTCATGAAGACTTTTAGGAATCTGATAAGCATCCTGAACCCTATCCTAGGGGAAATGCACACTTGCACAAAATTTTACATATAATTTTGGGAGGTTAACGAATTCTCCCCCAATCCCAGCTATGGTACACACACAACTTGCCAACCTCTGCTTATACTCTTGCATTTTAGAGAGTTTACTACATCATAATCTTCAACCATGGGAAAAAAGATGTGTAAAAGCTCTGAACTTCATACATGGAAGAGCCACTGGTAGCTTGAAATTCTGATGTAAGAAACATTGCTTTGACTGTCCCTATAAGAACCAGAGGAGCTCTGGTAGCATAGTGCCTAAGGCACTTGACTGCTAACCAGAAGGCTGGCGGTTCAAACCCACCAGCCACTCCTTGGAAGGAAGGTTGGGCAATCCTACTTCTGTAGTGTTACTGCCTTGGAAACCCAAGGAAGGGTCGCTATGAGTCAGGGCCGACTCGACAGCACATAACAACTACAACAACATAAGAACCGGAGTTTAACAGGGTTGGTGATGGTTCAGTGATAGAATTCTTGCCTTCCATATGGGTGATGGTTCAGTTCCTGGCCAATGCAAGTCATGTACAGCTCCCACCCACCTATCAGTGGAAACTTGCTTGTTGCTGATGTTGAACAGGTTTCAGTGGAGCTTTCTGACTAAGATGGACTAGGAAGAAAGGCCTGATGATCTGCTTCCACAGATCAGCCAGTGAAAACCTGTGGATCACAATGGTCTGATCCACAGCCAATCGTGGGGATGATGCAGGACTGGGCACTGTTTTGTTCTGTTTTACATTGGGTTACAATGAGTCGGGTGCTGACTGAGTGAGAAAGAATGTGTGAGTGGGATGGCAGGAGCATAGGTTTATGCCTGCTACTTCTCTCAATCCCTCAAAGGGAGTAATCTGAGAATCTGAGGGTTTTTTTTTTTTTTTTTGGCTGTGCATTGCCTGACAAAGTTTGAAGACTACCCATCCTATGTAAGGAAGACCTTCTTTCATATTTTTCTCTTCCTACTTCTCTCTGTCTCTCTTTCACATGCGTGTGTGCATGTATACATACCTCTTCCTCTTTTGATTAAAAAGAGTAGTGTTTGTGAGATGAAGGAGTCAAGCAGCTGCCTGCAGTCCATTCACCCTCTTCACTTGAGGAGCAGGAGGATGGCCCCAGGAAAAAAGAAACCAAGGAAGGTAACCTGGTCTAATCTCTGGGTCAATAGACTAATGATACTTGTTAGAAGAGAACTTATCTATTGAGTGTCCTTAGCAGGGTGATCCCTGGCCAAGGTATTACTTATATTAAATGCAGCTACAGATCCATGATGCAGGTCTCCTTGGAGAAAGGCATGTAGGTTGTCCAAATCTCTCTGTATAAAAGGGAAATGTTTCATAACTTAAACACTCCTGCTATGTAAGTAACACCATGGACCTTGCTGTGAGGCCTCACCTGTTATTCTGGGCCAGAGTTGCATGTCTGATGCACAAAGAAAGGATGGGGGCCACTTGTGATGTCTCTGGTTCCTCTCTGCTTTGTTTGAGCTTCTTGATTACTGTATACTTGAAATTATTAGACTCTCCATTTTGAGTAAATCTGACTTGTATGTTAGCTCTGTGTATTGCAAAACGATGCCTCTATTAATTGTTTTGTTTTGTTTTACTTAAATTCAAACTGATGGATAGAGTAATAGCAGGTTGGAATTGATGGGGATTGTAAAGTGTACCTAGTTTTGTCTCTTTTGCGATGTTTAAATTCTCCCAGTGAGACTCCTGTGAGGGGGTCATGCATCCTTTCTCTGCAAACTCAGGTATCAGTACTTATTTATCCCTTGATTTCTTAACCAGCAATCACAATGGTTAATTCTTCTTTATTATGATCCAAAATCCCTATCCTTTGACTTCCTCTCTTAATCTCTCTTACAAATCCCTTTCATTAAGATAATTATCATAATCCCCTTGCTAAACCTTAGGATTTTCCTCAGTCTTTGGTATCATGTGAACTGTCAAATTCCCATACTTTCAAAATATTTTGAAAATATTCCATATTTTCAACATATCTCTTCGTATATGGTGCTTAGAATGGAACAGAATACTGGCCCACATAGTATATTTATTGCTTTACTCCATCTGGACATTCGTCGTTAAAAAAAATTTAATGGTCTATCATGTTGTAGCTTTGGTGTCCTCATTTGTTAAATTGGAATTGTAACATATATTTAATTCAACGAGAAATGATTGGGCACCTACTACTGTGTGCTACTATGTCCTGTGCTGTTCACTGTGAGTTTTAACAAGGAGGATAGGCCAGCCAGGAAGACAGTAACAAGGTTCATGCTGGATCTTTTAAGTCACATCAAGGAGTTTGGATTTTATTCTAAGTTCAGTGAGAAAATGGTGCAGAGTTTTTCACCTGGGGTGTGCCATGATCTGAGACAAGTCTTAAAAGGATCACTCTCATGTCTCTGCAGAGTGTGGATTTGGGGAAGATGGGACTAGATGAGAAGTGGGAATTTCACTCAGGAAGCGATAGTCGTGCCAGGCAAGAGGTGATACTGCTGGTCATGCCTTCTTCCAGTCCATGTACGTTGCTCTGATTGTTTGTATGGTTAGTATTAGAAGTTTTGTGTAAGGTTACTGAAATCCAAATGTATGATGTCTGATACATTGCCTTTATTATTACTATTTTTGTTCTCTTAGATGAACATGAGGTCTCTCCAATGACTGGCTCTTGGTGACCCAACACTGGTTCCCAGTGGCTGCTGTTTCATTTTCTAAGAAATTTAGTCACCAACTGTACTTTCCATGAAACTACCAACTCTGTATTAATACTGTTTAGTTTTCAACAATTTTATGTTTTTCTTGTGTTTGTCCATTTTCATTAGGGCCCCATCTTAGTTTTTGAGGGCTGCCATAACAAAAAACCAGGAAGTGAGTGGCTTTAAAGAACAGGAATTTATTGTCTTACAGTTGTGGAGGCTAGAAGTCTGAATTCAGAGCACTGACAAGGCCATCTCTTTCTGTCAGCTCCACAGGAAGATCTTTCCTTGTCCCTTTCAGCATCTGGTAGCCCAGGGTATATCTTGCTTGTAGCTATATATTCAGAAGATGTCTTCTTCCTGTGTATGTCTCTCTCTGTATCTTTTCCTCCTTTTTTGTAAGACACTACTCAGAAGGGTTTAGGATTAGGACCCACTATACTCTGATATGGGAGCTCTGGTAGCATAGTGCCTAAGGCACTTGACTGCTAACCAGAAAGCTGGTGGTTGAAACCCACCAACCACTCCTTGGGAGGAAGGTTGAGCGATCTACTTCCGTTGTGATACTGCCTCGGAAACCCAAGGAGGGGTTGCTATGAGTCAGGTCCGACTTGATGGCACATAATAACAACAACATACTCTGATATAATGAGCTTTGGTGGGGTAGTGAATAAGCCATTTTGGCTGCTAACCAGAAGGTCAGTGGTTCAAACCCACCAGCCACTCTGTGAAAGGAAAAATGGGGCAATCTATTTCCATAAAGATTTCTGCCTCCGAAACCCAGTGGAGGTTGCTATGAGTCAGAATCGAGTTGATGGCAGTGTGGTTTTATATATATATATATATATATATATATATATATATATATGCATACTGACATCACCCCTCATTAATTAAAGCTGGTAACAGAAGAAAAGCTGTGTTTCCAAACACAGCCACATTTACTACTAGTACAGGGATTAGGATATCAACACATCATTAGGGAAGAAAAACTTCAATCCACAAAAACACCTGACTGCCATTGAGTTGAATTCCATCTCATACCCACCCTTTCTTGGGTTTCCAAGGTGATATCTCTGTGGAAGTAGATTGCCCTGTCATCCTTCTGATGAGTGGCTGGTAGGTTTGAGCCACCAGGCTTTTGTTTAGCAGTCAAATGCCTTACAATAGGTGACTTAAAACAACAGAAATTTAGTCTCTCACAGTTCTTGAGGCTAGAAATCTGAAATCAAGGAGTCAGTAGAACCATGCTCTCTATGAAGGTTCTAGGGGAAAAAGCCTTCCTTGCATCTTGTAGCTTCTGGTGATCCCAAGGACTTCTTTGGTTTATGGCAGCTTAACTCCAATCTCTGCCTCTTTCTTAACGTGGCCATCTTCCCTGTGTGTCAGTCTGTGTCTATGTCTCTTTTCCTCTTTTAATAAGGATAAAGGATAAAAATGTACTAGATTAGGACCCACCCTACGCCAGTATGACTTCATGTTAACTAATCACATCTGCCAAGACCGTGTTTCCAAACAAGGTCAGATTCACAGATACTGAAGTTACGACTTCAACACATCTTTCTGGGAAACACAGTCCAACCTATAATACCTGACATGTGAATCAATGTGTGAAAATTGGCTTGAGTCTCTGCTGCTCTCACTGTGATGTGAACAATTTTTGCTCCCCAGTGTGACAAAAGTCCTTAACATAAGGATGATCAATATCCATACATGGTAGGTAGCAAAGGGCTTGAATCAGCATGAAAGGAAAATCTTCGAATCCTAGAAGTTACTTTTTCTGAAGCAGAGAATATTAAAACTCTTTTTATGTGCATCAACCAAAGTAGTTAACTGCAGTGTGCTAATGAGAATGCCTGTGCATATGCGCTCATGTTTGTGTTCTCATTCTTTTTCTGTTGTCTTATATTTGATGCTATGATCTTTCCTCAGCTATTCTTTAGGGAGACGCCTTTCCATTACGCACACAATTTTCAGCTAGCTCATGTAA